GCTGGCTGTCTTCCCTCTGTACTCCCATTGCACTCTGTACAGGACATCAATATAGAGAACTTAGCATATTAAATTGTTTTCTGAAAACCAATTGTATTTCCACATAGTAGCAATGAGTTTGAATGGAACCATAAACTAAAATTTTTTTAAAAAAGAAAAACATTATGTACTTGAATAAAAAGATATTTTATTCATGTCAAACTTAACACTGAACTGTCAATTTTCTCCAAACTGATCTATAGATTCCAATTGGTTTCAATTAAAATTCAAAAAAGTTTTGTAAATACTGAAAAGTGGACTCTAAAATTCACCAAAATTACTCTGAAAAATAACAGTTAGAGGGCTTACACTACCTGAGTTCAAGAATGATTATAAAGCTATATACACTATATGACTGATAAAAGATAAAGTTCTTTCAAAACACAATAAAAATGCAGTTAGAACATGGGCAAAAGATAGTTTCATGGATATATCAAAACTTAACCTAATCGTACCCCAATAAAACCGTTTAAAAATATAGTCTAACTCCATCACTAAACTGTCATCAGCTCCTAAAGGCAAGGATTATAAATCATTAATATTATTAACATTATCACCTCATAATGCAAAGATATAAAAGGAGTTGAGTAAGTGCTTACTTAATATACATAAGACTCAATGAGCAAAAACCAAAAAAAAGCACTGCATTAACTGAGATTAAAATGATAAATCTGGAAATATTTAATAGTTACTATGTAACTAACCTATATAAAAAATTCCTATCTGTAATGACAGCATGGCATGGAAAAAAGAGCGCCATGCAAGATGAGGAGACATGAGACCCATCTAAATTTTTACTAGTCTGGTGCACTTTGATAATCAAACCTCATTTGACTTTATCATTGGAAATTCAGGGTTATTAATAATTCTTATGTTTTCAACCTCAAAGAATTGCTTAAAAAACCAAGTAAGTCAAAAATCCTTCAAAACCACTGATGTCACTAGACGCAACTCTGTAACGCAGCAGAGAAAACAAAGATGTTTGACTCTATTTATAGAGGGGTTACAAGTGACCTCATCTACAGGCCAGAAGGGAACCTAGAAAGGCAGGAACACTCTGGTTCTTTTCTGTTTTCTGCTCAGCAGGAGATAAGCCTCACTTTTTCTACTCATAAAAAACAAACTGCCAACTCTGATCTCTTAATCATGAAAACAAATCTGTCTTTTAGAAAAAAAGTGGTTGATATGAATAGCAATGATCGTGTTTCTACTTTACATAAGGATGATTCTGGTCTTCTCTCCTGAGAGTAACAGGGTTAGACATTATTTCCTTTGAGTATAGGAAGTAAAAAATGTTTTGCTGTAAACAAATGAAATACAGGGCTTTATTTCTTTTTCTTTTGGTTTGAACTCAGGGCTTTGCACTTGGAAGACAGGCGATCTACAGCTTGAGCCATTCTCCAGTTCAATTTTGGATTTTTTAAGTAGATAACTTTCACAATAATATCAACTGTTTTGAAAAACAGATCACTTAAATGTGTTTAAAATTCAAATTTATTATTAAGCTATAATGAAAATGTAAAGGTAAAAAGTGATTACAGCAAATGATACAGAAGAATAAATGAACTTTATGACAGATCTCTCTACAGAAGGCCTGTAACACTTCATAGTCTCAAGACAGACATTCACTTAAGCAAAAATTAGTAAGAATTCCATTACAATCTTATAAAGAGTTCATGACAACTTCATAAGCTTTTAGACTTAGTAAGAAACATTTCTATTTTTCTTGCTAGGAATAAAAGTTTGTAATGAACACAGAAAACTATTTGGAGATTAAAAGATTCTACCTATCAAGGGCTGGCCCTCCAGCTACCCAACTTTTATTAGTGTCATTCATACAATGGTAATTATATAGTAGGTAGCATGATTAATAAAAACTTAGAAAGGCACAAAATCTTTAATCTCCAAACATTTTAGGAAAACTTCAACTGAACTTGGATCTTTCCCAGCAGGCTACTGTCATTTTAAGCAATGGGCTGCTTCTGTACAGATAGACACCCTAGTTTTGTAACTCAATGGGAAAATGGCACCAAGAATATAAGCAATGGTGTGTATCTGTAGTAATTTCTATTATTTCTGCTGACACTCAAAAAAAGATTTAAGGACTTGTGATGTTTGGAATAATCTGATTCAATACAAGTTTTATGTTAAATACACTAGTCCTCTGCTCATTAAATTTCATGTTTAGGCATCTGTTTATGTGCTCACCAAACAGAAACAAAAAAATAACTCCATAGAACACATAAACACCCTTTAGTATTAAAGCTACTTGTGGTGTGTCATGGAGAAACAAACACACTGGGGGGAGGGTAGAAAAGGAAAGACTGGAGGATTTTTTCCCTCCACCCATAACTTACTGAAAGGTTTTAATTCATGGCTGCCACAGGGAGGATCACAGCAGAGGGATAACACTGTCTGGATAAAAGCATTTGCCTACTTGTATGACCTGTTTCATATTCATTTAAAAGTCTGATAGCAACCAGATGTCCCACAATGATGATAAATTTAATTTATTTCCAAATCCTCAAACTCTTCTACAGATCCAGGCAGCACAGTCACAGCCATTAGCTCATTGAGCTTGGATGCATCACTGAGGGAATGGAATTGATCCGGCAGATAGATTGCAGTGCATGGTAAAGAGTCTCCTAAGAAGGAAGATGGCAGAAATCCAGACATCAAACAGATGATGAAATGGCCATTTCCATTAAGGAAACATCACATCACAGATATTAATTAGGAGGTACTATAATAAAGTTAAGTGGATATAGGAAGAAATGCTGAGCTAAAAGTCACCCCAAATGTCCTTAGCTTGAGGTAATTACAGATTGGAAGGTGAGTCATAGATTTGCAGTTTTCCACTCATTTTACAATGGCTACAGGTAAATTAGAGACCAGAGTGAACCTTTTTTAGGCTGGGGACAAACTCACCAAAATGAGAAAATCCCATAGGTTAAGAATTAACACAGGATGTTTAAATGATGTGGAGTAACTTGTTAAAAGCATCTTTACCAAGTAGTGCTTACAAAAAGTAAGGTGACATCAGCAAAAGTGGTGGAGCAAAAACCTCTGAAATCTCCCCTCCAAAAAAGCAATGAGGACACTTGTGAGAATCAACTGTGGAAAGTAACCAAATCTTGAAGCAATCCAGGAACTGTTAGCAAGTTTGTTGTATTTTAATATGCCCTATTTCCAATCCCACTATCTCAAACTCTGAGGTAGCCTTAAGAACAAACTGTGCTAACTACAGTGGCTGCCAGCAGCTACCAGAGGAGGGAGAAGAGTGCTGAAGCTCCTTAAAAATCCCCATTCTCAGAGAACGATCACCATGAGACTTGTTTAGTGGTCCCCTGGAAGACCTCATTCAGAAAGCTGAATTTACTTGACTGAACTTGGTCCTTGCTCAGTGTGAAAAGCCTAATCTGCATGAGTTATAAGAAAATAATATTGCTGCCTGAGATGGTACTTATCAGTTAGGGCAAATAATAGGCTAACCAAAAGCTTCAAAGAAAACGCTAAGCAACAATGGCCACAAGAGGTTTAGAAAAGTTCTAACGTATCCCTGGGAATGAGAACAATCACCTGTATGGCTGTGAAAATGCTCAGGAAAGGCCTGAGAAGTCCCTTGGTTCTCTCCTATCTGTCATATTCACCTGATATAACTCATGGGTTTATGACTTCTCTCCCACTGTAAACTTTGGGAATAACAAAACTCCCAATTTTTCAATCCAAAGGAGTATTTAGCTTCCTATACTAATTTCAAAGCAACAACAGATTCCAAGATAAAAAGAGAAATCCATTTCCACAAGGATAATAATTTTTAAAAAGTATCAGCAATTGATAACACATTGTGAGAGCCTTTACATGGGACTATTTGTTCAGGTACTTGAGTAACAGGTTTAATTTAGCTCTGGTGGTTGATTAGGAGTTTCTTAAGAGGTAAAGGTAAGCATTCTTTTTTTTTTTTTAACTCATTCACAGGAAAATACCATGACACAGTGATTTGTTACTCTGAAGAAACTTAAAAGAATTCTTTACAAACATAAAGTATAAATTCAACTAAATATTTCCCTGTCCTCTAAATTACCTTAAAGAAATCAAGGAGAAGCATTAAGATAATCACACTTTTCCTTAGGATTAGAAATTAGGGTAACCATAAAATTACTAATAGCTTTCTCAGTTTTTTTTTTTTTTTAATGTGTGTAGTACTGGAGTTTGAACTCAGGAACAAACACTGTCTCCTGAACTACGCCCCCAGCCCTTCTTGTTATAGTTACTTTTGGGATAAGGTTTTAAGATTTTGCTTGGGCTGGTGATCTTCCTATTTATGCTTCCCATACACCTGTGATCATAGGTGCATGATACCACACGCAGCTATTGAGATGGGGTCTTGCTAACTTTTTGCCAGGTCTGGTCTCAAACTATGACCCTTATAGCCTCTGCCTTCCAAGTAGGTGGGATTACAGGCATTAGCCACTGGCTATTTCTCATCTATAAAACTCAGTATTGTACTATTTCTCTCCAAATATTGTTACAATGCTTTTTATACTTATTTAATCTTTATATTGAATACAACAAATCACTTGAAACTTTTTTTAAAACTTATTTTTAGTGGAAACAAATCACTTTTTGAAATATAATGGGAGGAAAAAAACAACATAAAATATATTAAAAGGTCTATCAGTATCTTCTTTTTCGGAGCACTTTATATCATAAAACTTCAAAGTGAAAGGAAACTGAATAATTTTTACCCTTGTTCCCCAAAGATGACAAAAAAAAAGAAAAGATAAGGATAGGGTAGTAAAATGTGTTACTTAAGACAGTTTAAGAAAATAAGACTATTATAATTTTTAAAAACAAGTATAATTAAAATATTTGAACTAATACCCAGGAAGCCTCTACGCTCATGATAGGCATTCATAAATGGGGAGAACTACTTTGTTGTACAGAGTTCCAAAACTAACCTGTGATAATAAGACATTCATTGTGATCCAGCACTTCAGTGAAGAGCCGTGAAACAATCAACTCAGGGTTGATTAAAAAGCGGATTTCTTCTTGTACAAGTCCTGCACTGGTTACACCACCTCCAACAAAACGATTTGCAAAATCCACCTATTTGGGAAAATGTGGCAGGTTAAATCATGGTCTAAAATGCCTACATGTATGATAAAAGATGCTCATGCTCTATTGGTTCAAATCTTCTTTTCTTTTTCCATGAAAACCAGTCCCTAAATTAGTAATCTTCCCAAAGAAGATTGATTATAGTTGCTTGCACACCTTCCATTCACCACAGTCAACATCTCTGCATTTCTTTGGATCCCTTAACTGAATGAGGAACCTGGACAATGGAGCCTTTAGGCAAAAAATTATTTATTATATGAACTCTTGTTTATAAACCTTGTTTGTGGCCCTAGAGGGGGTCTTCATCTGGGAAGATTTCAAAGTTATTTCTTCATATTCACTCCTTAACCTTCCTTTAAGTATTTCATATGATTTTAATCATCAAATCCTTCTTATATAATGTGGCAATCAAACACTTGTCCTAAATAACTGAACTAGTTGACTGTTTTTGGTGTAAGCTTTTCCTTGTGGAAGAATAAAAGGATGAAATTTTTGTCCTAAATTCAACCCCAAGCTCCAAACTGCATGAACATAACGAACTATAAAAAAAAAAAAAAAAAGCACACCACCACATACACAACACACCAAATGGGGCATTAAAAAAGAAAGAAGAGAATCCAGAAAAAGAACAAGGGTTCATGGGCTAGAGGCATGACTCAAGCAGTAAAGTACAAAATTCAGTTCAAACCCCAGTTCCACCAAAAAAACAAAAGAAACAAAGATTCAACTAAATTAATATTTCTAATTTAGTCTGGATTAGCCTACATGTAAGCATACTTTTTTTCTTTGTGCAGTGCTGTGGGTCATACCCACTGGCTCAGGCAAGTGTTCTACCACTGAGTTAGACTTCTAGCCCTACTAAAGCTTCATGTAGAGTACTATAAAGAGATCATCAATTCCCCACTGATAAAGAGTAACAGCACAATCCTGAAGAAAATGCAAACTAAACCTGCTAATATTATTTCAGTTTATGTAAGAAATGATGTCCATTTTTGTCTTGGACTATTCTGAAGAATCAGATTACAGATACATACAACTTGTGTACAAACACAGTCATACACACAAAACAGAATTCACTAAGTACTATAACAAAGGCTTATATTCTTTCAAACTATTGTAAGCATATTTTACTATTATAAAACATGTTCATCTTCTCTAAAGGGAATGCACACTAAACGATAATCTGAGTAAAACAAGAATGAGTCATTTGCTATGTAAAAATATATGTGAAAAGAAAAAGATAGCAAAGTACTCTTTTTTTTTTTTAGCATAGAAGAACTTAGAAAGTACAGAAATATACCATTTATAAATTCTTGAAAAGATTTACTACAGTGAATCATGTATCTGGGTATGTATTTCTATGTACTAAAATTAATGCCATAAAAAATACCCAGTTACTATTTGCTTTTTACAGAAAAATAGTTTTGGTGATTGATTAGAGCTAGTCATGTACCACATATAAGGCAGTGGATGATTCATGGCTAAAACTGTTCAACTTAGCAATATTTACTGAGCATTATACTGAATGGAAAACATGAGATATAAAAACAAGTAAGAATTATGTAGCTCCTGCTCTCGTAAGTGTTGCCATCTACGTAGAAGTCAGGTATATAAGCAGAAAAATCAGATGATCATTGATGAACCTATCATTATGTATTTGGTACTTCCCAAATAATAGAATTAACTAAAATCTGAACATGGGAGAATACTGGAATTTTACAAGAGGATAGGGCATTCAATCCAGTTTGCTGACTTATTAGGCTGAGGGAAAATCAAATGTAAACAGCTGTATGAGGAGAGTAGAAACAGGTTCCTCATGTTGCCTGCAATGTAGAGGACATTATATTGAGGGTTACAAGTAGTGATACAGTGGTCTGGAGTCTATGAAAATTTTACTCATTTCTCAAGGTTTTGAGAAAAATTCATTTAACAACTGGGCCTGTGTTTTAGTAAGATAATTCAGGCTACATTTTGAAGAAAAAGCAAAATGAAAGTAAAATTAAAAACAAAGAGTTTAGCTAGATAACTACTGAATAGTTTAGACAAGTACTTGTAGGACCTCAAATAGGGCAGAGACCAAGTAAAGAGTGGAGATCCAGCGATGTCAGAAATGAAATGGACAGCATTTAAAAACTGAAAGACCAGCTGCTTGCCGACAAATGTAGGTGAATGCAAATTAGAAGCCAAGGAGGTTTGAGATAGCTTAACTTAATTTTGACTGGAATAAGGTACATAACTGAAACAAGTTCTACCCAACTTTTGTGCTACCTAATAAAAATCATGAAATACACACAATGTGCATGCTACTGTTCACTTTGAATAAAAGGCCAACAACATTCATTAGTTGAAAGGCGTGCACAGAAATAAATGCAGTAAAAGCAGAGGCCCTTAAGAAAACCAAAGTTTCTAGTACTTAAACAAGTTCTTATTAAAAGGCTTTCAGTAACAGGCGACAAACCTGTTCCAGTACATTAAAACAAGCATATGAATGCTTCTTTATGTTTAGCGAGTCATTTTCCTAGTCTTTTACTTTAAAGCTACTTGTTTAAATCACTCAGCTTCTGGATTATAACTTGATGAAAAGAGAGAAATGATAGAACTCAGAGAGGTTTTGCTGTTGTTGCCATTCAGCATAATGTAATTTATATGCTACACAAGGAATTTTGGAGCATTGCAATACAATATTCCCTGGTCTCCTGGATAAGAAGAACAATTATAGTGCTAGAAGCCTTCATGGTATTCTTTTAATCTACCAAGGCTTCATATTTCATCTACAATATATTGCAGGGAAGTGGGAAAAAGCTCAACCTTGACTGTTAGTAAATAATTCTTTCTTGAACTGTAATGTAATGAAAGGTCAGCATTCCTGTGGTGCTAACTAGCAGTAGTTTTGCTTATTTCACATCTATGATGACCCCATGATTTATCTAAGACTTTAATGTAGGAAAAATCTTCATAAAGAAAGGAACATGGAGGAAACAGATATTCACTTGAAACAATTTTAAAGCACATTTAAAAAATATTTTTAAGAAGAAAAGCCATATGATTGTATAAAAATTAATTTTTAACAGAAGTATGGAAATACTATCTACTTAGTTATTCCAAGTATATTGTTTTACAAGATCAAGCAATCACTGGAAGAACGTGATTAAAAAAAAAACAACTCAGTGTCTCTTTAAAGATTTTAGTTACAAATATGTCTAAATAAAAGGCCACTCTAAAAGGAACCTGACTTATCAGATAATGAAGCATATGTACACAATAACTACATAAATCAATCTAGTTAAATCACTCTATTTTCTGACAACTGCTTTCTTTAGCGTCCAACACAATATAAGAACCAAACAAGGATCTAAGATCTGTTCCTAGTACAAACAATATGACACACAGGCTTCTTTCAAAGAAAACTAAGTTTGTAATGCTCTTATGAATGGGGATAAAACATAAAACATTTAACATTTTGTTTCTGATTAGTGAATTTTAAAAAAATCACTATAAATCAAAAGGAAATACATGCTCAGGTTAGGTGTTAAAATATTTTAAAGCCAGACACATGGGTTTATTTTTTGTCTGCTTGTTTTTGAGTCAGGGACATGTGGTCTGGGAACTTGCAATCCTCCTGCCTCAGTCTCCAAAATGCTGGGATCACGTATGTTTATTACCACACTCAGCTTGTTAACCAATTTTTATAAAATTTTGAGGTATGACAGAAACTAATAACAAAGGCTAATAAGCAGGATTACCCATTCTTTAACAGAGGGAAAAACCAGAAAGCATAGCTAACTCATGGGCTTAGAGCTGTTATTTATAGAAGAGAGGCCTTTCTATTCAATCAGATTTAAATACCTGCTTCCTAGACCTAAACAACAAGGCTGTCGGTCATAGAAAAACACCTCAAACTGGTCATCATTTGGAGCAGAGCAAGGGTCTTTAAAGAAAGAGAATAAAACTGCCTGGTGATAGCTTGTCAAGCTCATACCCTGGGAACTTCCTCCACTGCCAATCTTCAATCAATGTCTGAACCAAGAAGACTGATGTTGTCCAGATCTTGGGACTTCCTGTCAAAAGCTTTTTAAGGAGGTACATGTAAGAAACAGAGAGCATATGCTGGCAAATAACATTACCAAACTGTCAGAGTGATCTGTTTGGTGTTTTTCTTCCTTCTGCTATCATGCTTCTTTGCATTAAATCAGTTTAAGAGACAAATAAACAGCTTTTCAATTCCCTTTGCTGTCAGAAGGTTGACAAGAGAGTCTTACAAACACACACACTCACACACACTCTCACACACACACACACTCTCTCTCTTTCGAGATTCACCCACCTGTAACATGCCTCGACCATTTCCTTCTATGGTACCTTCATAAGTGACATGTAATCGTGTCAGGGGTTTCTCACATCTACAAGGTAAAAAGATATTCCTTTATTTGTTTTTCAAATTATGAGTAATTGACAACAGAAAAATAGCAAATATGAAAATACTGATAACTTAAAAACAAAAAAACCCCAATATCTACCTCAACTCTCAAAAAACAAAGACGCCTACTGTTAATCCTCTTTTTTTGGTGGCACTGGGGTTCTAACTCAGAACCTCATGCTTGCTAGGCAGGGGCTCTACCACTTGAGCCCCTTCAGCAGTCCTTTTTTTGTATGTGTGAGGTATTTTTGAGATGGAGTCTTGTACACTATATGCCCAGGGTAGCTTTGAAGCATGATCCTTCTGATCTCTGGCTCCAGAGTAGCTAGGATTAGAGGAGTGAACCACCAGCACCTGGCTCTGTTAATATTTTTGGTATTGATCCTCCCAAACTTTTTCTTATTTAGATCTGTAAATATACATATTTAAATTAAAAGACAACATATTGTCCTAAACCATCCTTTCCTCTCTATACATAATCTCAGAGTTCCTTTATGATAGCTGTAAAACTTCTCAAGAAAAAAAAAAAATAAGATCTATGAATTTTATTATTATACTAGAGCTGGCAATCTGATACAAAAAATTTAGCAATAAATCAGGATTGTTAGGTGAGCTTTATTTTCACTAGTTTGATAACTGTGTGTTTGCAGAGGGGTGTCTTAATGGAAATACATGCCACAGAAATTCAGGTCTATGACAGTTTTATATTAATAACGTTGAAAAATGAACCTAGTACGTGTTAGTCATTCAGAAGGCACACTTATTTTCTTTGCCTTTAATAAACTATGGTTACTGAGGTATTGACCTGTCTTACATTATATTAAAAACCAATTTCACTATATTGCTAGCATTTGATGACATTTTTTTCCTTGCTAGACTTTTCCTGATTGCTTACCAAATAAAAACTATAACTTATATTAGAATATAAGAGATGAGATCCAAGCTCCTTACTAAGGGTGGTAGTAATTTTTTGAGTGGAGGTGATTACATTTAAAAAAATAATAATTTAGAAGGTCAGCTGAGAAAGCACTATTTACTTACTGAGATTTGTTTCCTTCCTAATTTGAATAAAGACTCATACACTTCTGGCAAAATTCCAGCATAACAGACTGATAACCTTAAACTACAAAGATAATTCAGTATGAGTTCTATTCTAAGAGCTTATTTGTATTATCTCATTTAATCTTCAGAATAACCTCATCATGATCTCCTTTTCCAGACAGAAAACCACGAAAGCATTTAAGTAAGCTGCTCAAGCTAGGAAATAAAGCAGTAAAGATTTGAACCCAGGTAGCCTAACTTACTGGATCAAGCTCTTAACCATTACATTATACGTTTAGAGAAAAAGTATACCATCTCTTATAGAAAGTGCATAGGTTGAACTTTTTTTTAAACTTCCTTTTCTTGGTCTTATTTTCCTAGCCATTTTATTCAGAGGGAGGCCATCTTTGAGGATAGTACTGAAAAGATAAAGAAGATCTATAAATCTGCAAACTTTCAGTCAAAACTTCAAAGCCGAAATTCTATCTATTGGCAACTGTTTTCCACAAGTGAAGTTGGCAACTTTATGTTGCAGTTCTCACTGTAATTAGGGAACTGCTGGAAACCATTTCTGGTTTGTTTGTTTGTTTGTTTGAACTTCCAAATAGGTTCTGGTCCCAACAAATTCTTTGCACTCCTGGCTAAGGTATTTGCTGATAGTTAAAGAGCTAACTGTAACATGCCAGAAATTGGGATTTAGAAAAGCTTCCAACTTCCTAGTACACATGTAGCCCCTTAATCTTGGCAATACCAACAATCCTTATCTCTATCTTCACCCTCCATCCTTAAGTGTATACAGGTTTCTGATTCTGCGGAGTCTGGGAGACTGATTTTAATTACATTCTCCAACTCGGTCATGAAGCAGTTAAAACAACAACAAAAAAAAGAGATAGATAAAATAAGTTAGAAAAAGTTGGCTTGTGGAGTGGCTCAAGTGGCAGAGCGCCTGCCTAGCAAGTATGAAGCCCTGAGTGCAAACCCCAGTACCACAAAAAAAAAAAAAAAAAGGGTAAAAAGAGGAAACAAGTTAAATTCTGCTTATGAAAGTTAAGGGGATAATGTTGGGTCTCACTCAGAGGCAAACTTACTGCATTTCATTCACTTAGCAACCTTGTTGGACTCTGCATTTCTATCTATAACTTTTTTCCGACATGGTGATATACAAATGGGTGCCCTTACACATTAGTGCTAAATAAGTAAGTCATGTGAATGATCTATAAAACTGATACCAAAGTGACAAGAGCAAAACATCCTGTATTCCTAAATTCCTATCACTCAGACTAGTAGAGTGAAGAAAAGCAGTCTTCGTAGTCGGGTATACACACTATAGTTGGGTAACAAAGCAGAATGTTACTTTTAGTCCCAGGTACCACATTAATGAATGGGGGTCTATCAAAATCAGATTTAGAACTCAGAAAAGAGCAAGTATAGTATAGATTTGTGTGCAAAGTTACAAGTGGGAGCAGGTCAAGAAAGCATTTTTAAGATACCAAAGGAGGGTTGAATGTTAAGAAAAATTAGAAATTAGATTTAATTATTGTAGGTTCAGTGGGAAGAACCAGAAACGGGGAAGGAGGTAGCTAGAAGGCAGATGTTTTTTAGTAATACAATATTAGGTAATAAGCAGCCAACAATGGAACAGACTCAGGCAAAACAGTGAATTTCCCATCACTAATGCTGTCCTGTCTCCATCTATTAAAATTATTACAGAGCTGATTGTTGTTTTTAGTAGGCAGCTTGGCCAAATTACTTCTGGGAGGCCCTCTTTCATCTCTATATGGCATAATTCCAAAATGCTATATATGTTTTCTCTTCCCTTTCTGGCTCAAGTTTCTTCCTTCCCCAAACATCATTTCATGTTACTTAATCTTTCATCCTCTTCTATTAATAATCACCTCAACCATATACTAAGCCTTCTGAAATAAGATTTTTCTTTCACCTGACAAATGAACATCTTTGATGGATGAAAACATCACAGGAAAGACACCTACGTGAACAGGCCTTCTCAAGGTAACATCCCTTAAGAATAATTTCCCTTCATCACTAATCCTAAACAAAAAAACTACAAACTATAATAAAAATTATTACAAAATGAAAATGAGAAATACTGCTTAACATGCAATGTACACCGAAAAATATGCAAGTAGTAAGATTGAGCATATCATTACCTGTATTTAAAAAGTTGATCTATATTTCTTTAACAGCATTGGGGATTTGCTTTAGGTTAGAAATGTGTTAATTATTTCAGGGTATTAAAGACCTTACAAAGATCTGGAGGGTCAGGCACAGCGGCTCACACCAATACTACCAGTTACTCAGGAGAGTGAGACTTGAGAATAGAAGTTCAAGGCCAACATGAGCATCTCAACCAACAAAAGGGATATTGTGGCACACACCTGTGACCCCAGATGGATGGGAGGCAGGCACAGACAGAAGGATCAGTCTCTGACCAGCCCCTGGGAAAAACTGCCAAACCTTACCTGAAAAATAACTAAAGCAAGCTACGCACCGATGGCTCACACCTGTAATCCTAGCCACTTGGGAGGCTGAGATTGAGAAGAGGCCAGCCAGCTCAGGCAAATAGTTCATGAGACTCCATGTCCAAAGTAAGCAAAGCAAAGTGGACTGGAGGTGTGCCTCAAGCAGTGGAGTGCCTGATTTGCAAACCATGAGTTCAAACCAAAAAAGGAAAGATAGAGAAAGCAAAAAGGGCTGGGGGTATGGCTCAAGTGGTAGAGACTTGATGAGCAAATGTCAGGATCTGAGTTCAAGCCTCAGAACAGACAAAAAGGAAAAAAAAACCTTACAAATCTCAATTACCTCACATTGTTTATAATTCTTCTCAGTATTTTCAGATAAATAATAAGAAAAACAGTGCAGTAAATCAGTAACTTCCAAAAAATCTGCCAGTGGTACACATGGAGGGTCAAACTTCAAAATTACTGTCACTCAGACAAACTCTAGATTTTACTTAAAAAAAAAAAAAAAAACTTTCCCCAATCTTGTCCTCCAGAAAGAAAACTCATAAAATATAAACACTAATGAAAAAATGGTTAAGGAGGCACATTTAAATACTGATAATGTGGCAGGAAGGCAGGGAGGGGGAAGGTAGATAATGACAACAATGAGGGAGATAATAAGAGATGACTGCAACAGTAAAACAAAAAACCAGATTTGAAGAATATCAAGTAGCATCTGGGGCAAGACCAGAGAAGGGTCACCTCACCCCAAACGTTAAAAAAGCCAGTGAAATAATATGTGAGCATGTATGGGATAAGCTGAACCCCCCCCCCATTTCTATTACCCACAGTAAATGGTATATAAGGAAGGCCTCCTCTGTTCTTGGGGCTCAGCTGAGTTGCTGCTGGCCTACTTAATAAACTTGCTTCCCGAAGGCTTTGGTGCCCCACCTCTGTCTGCACTGTCCTACATTTCTGGAAGCTCGTCCGGGATTCAGAGTGGTGTTTTCACCTCCTATCACCAGTTCAGTGTCCCCAGCCCACTGGGAGGGCTGCCCCTCCCAGGCGCCACAGGACTGTGTTGCTCCGAAGGGAGGGAGCCTCTCTCCCAGCAAACAGAGAAGATGAGTTTCAGAACCTTCTCTGAAGGAAGGCTCAGGAACCAACTTGGAAGCCCCACTCATCACACTAGTAAGAACCTGGGTTAGAATTCAGGCCTGCCTCAAGAGGCAGAAGGGGAGTCTGATCAACTCCCAGTGAGACACCCTAGTAACCACCATTTGGGGTGAAACAGTGTCTCTCAGGTTCAGGGAGTGGGGTAGAAGTACTGTGCTCTATGAGAGTATGTGAAAGTGCAAGCCTGAGACGCAGCCCAGCGGTAAAGCGAATACAGAGTCCTAAGCCGCTGGTCTGTGTGAACTCATATGGTCCACGGAAAGCCCTAACAGAGCCTGCAGTCTGGGGCTTATATGGTTCCACTGCAGCTAAGAGACCGTGAGGAGAGCAGGTGGAGACTGCCAAAGCAAATGGTGTTATTTGTTTTCCCCTGTGTGCCAGAGAGGAGGACCCCTAACCTCCTCTCCACAACCCTCAACCCTTCCATCTCTGTCTGTCTTGATGTCTGGTAACGGGAGGAATGGGAGGATGTCAGAGTAAGAACACCTCCTTAGGGTACATTCTTAAGAACTTTAAGAAGGGATTTAATGGAGATAACTAAGTCAAGATGACTCGTGAGAAGCTTAGAACCTTCTGTGAAATAGACTGGCCTGCTTTTGGTGTGGATGGCCCTTGGATGGGTCATTAGATAAGGTCATAGTCAATAGAGTTTTTGAAGAGGAGCCTGGACACCCAGATCAGTCTCCTTATGCTACTAACTGCTGGCAGGATGCACTCCTTAGTGGGCCCATGTGGCTAAAGCCCCACCTAGAGAAAGCATGTAGGGTCATGGTAGCCAGGATGGCAAAAACTTCCAGGTGCAGGAAAAAATGTAAAAAGCCAGAGAAACCCCTATTAGCAGGGAACCCTGAGGAGATCTCGCCTCCTTATGTGCCACTGTACTCCTCCTTCATGGAAAAGCCTCAGGCTCTGATTGATCTAATGCAGTCCATCATCCAACTCATAAGCCCACCTGGACAGACTGCCGACAGCTTCTTCTGACTCTAAATACAATCTTGGAATGCATGAAGTGAGACATGAGTTCCCTTACCTTCCTGATTGCCCTGTGGCCATGGGGCACAGATAACTTTTGACTCTGATGGCATGGCTACCTTAAAGCTGAGAGGACCTGAAGCCAAGATTCTAACTCTCATGGTTGTACAGGAGGAGGAATGGTGACTCTGTGACTCTAAGAAAGAGATTCCTGAGATGCCTGAGCTTCCCTTTAAGATTCCAGAAGTAAAGGCTGAGGACAACACCACCCCTCCCCAGACTGGCTCAGAACATACCTCCGGTGGTGGTAGAATTAAAGCCAGGAGCTATTCTGTTAGCCAGAGGCAATACTACATTCCTCACAAGGCCCAAATTGGGATCCAAAAACATCCTGACAGACTACCTCTGTACAGTGAACTCAGCAACTGCCACTTTACACCCTGGGGTCCCAAACCCGTACACACTTTTGGGCCTTATCCTAGCTGAGGGAAAGTTCTTTACCTGCTTGGACCTTAAGGATGCATTTTTTTTTTTTTGCATCTGCCTGGCCCCACAGAGCCAAGCCATCTTTGCCTTCCAATGGGAAAGTTCTAGTAATGGAGAAAAGGGACAGATGGCTTGGATTCAGTTGCCACAAGTCTTCAAAAACTCTCCCACTATCTTTGGAACTGCCTTGGCATCCGACCTAAAGGCTTTCTTGACCAAACAGCATGGATGCACACTCCTTCAGTATGTAGATGACCTTCTATTGGCTGGACCAACTCAGGAGGACTGTATGGAAGGAACTTGCCTCCTTCTCTCTGTTTTGTGGAAGGCAGGCTATAATTTCCCAAAAGAAAGCTCAGATTTCCCAAGATATTGTCAAATTCCTCGGGTTTCACCTATCACAAGGGCAATATAGAATGGGCCCTGAGAGGAAACGGGCCATCTGTTCCATTCCAGTCCCCAAGACTGTAAACAGATTAGAGAATTTCTAGGGGCTACAGGTTTCTGCTGGATCTGGATCCCCAAATACTCTCTCCTTGCAAAACCCCTTTATGAGGCCACAAAGTGAGGAGAAGGGAAACCATGATATGGGGAGAGAAGCAAGAAAAGGCCTATAAAGAAATTAAGAGGGCACTCACAAACACCCCTGCTATGGGCTTGCCAAATGTGATGAAGCCCTTCTTCCTATATGTATCTGAGAGACTGAGGACAGCTGTGGGAGTCTTGACCCAGCTGCTAAGTTCCTGCCACCACCCCATGGCCTATTTATCAAAGCAACTTGATGCAGTTTCCTGAGGCTGACCACACTCCCATCTTGATGGCTGAAGCAGACAAACTTACTTTGGGACAAGAACTCACAGTCTGAGCTCCCCACTCTGTTTTCAAGTATGGACAAGAAATTCTGGAACTGCTAGAAGCCGTATGGGTCCCTAAGCAAATAGCAGTCATGTACTGTTGAGGGAACCAGAACAGGGAGACAACAGCTGTTCAAGGAAACAGAAAAGCTGATAGGGAAGCCAGGCAAGCAGCCCTCACAGGAGGACAAACCTCAGACTCACTGACAGCTGCCTTGTTCCATGCCCTTTATCTGAATGGGACCCATGGTATACTTTACAAGAACAGGCTTGGTTTGAGAATGAAGGAGAAAGTTTCCTGCCGGATGGATGGAGGAAGTTTGCCAATGACTATATTGCAATTCCAGAATCACTAGCTCCCACATTTGTCAAGTAGTTCCATGAAGGAACTCACTCAGGGCGAACAGCTCTCGAGACCCACCTTGGGGCATTTTATGCCAAGCTCTCAGGGACATGGGAGAGGTATGTGCCAAAAACAATCCCTGACAAGGGCCAGGAGTGCCACCCTAGGTGCAGTGTTGGAGGAACTCCTTTTGAAAACCTCATTGTGGACAATACTGGGATGCCACAGGCCAGAAGATATAAATATTTGCTGGTATTTGTCTGCACCTTCTCAGGAAGAGTAAAAGCCTTCCCTACTCAGAGTGAGAAAGCCCAGAAGTAGCCAGGTGCCTGCTAAAGGAAATCATCCCTTGGTTTGGAATACCTATTTTACTGGTTCAGATAATGGGCTGAACTTCACAGCTGAAGTGGTACAGTTGGTGGCTAAGGACTTAGGAATAACTCTGGGGCTTACCACCCCCAGAGTTCAGAGAAAGTAAAACGTATGAACAGGACTCTAAAATGCAATGGGAAAAACAATGTCAGGAGACCCACCTATAACGGGATCAGTGCCTGCTCATAACATTGCTGAGGATTAGGTTTAGCACCACCAAGTGGACACATCTCCCCTTTTGAAATTCTTTTGGGGCACCCACTCCCTTTAGTCAAGGGCCTGCAAGGGGACTTTAAGGAAATGAGTGACCTCACCCTGAGACAGCAGATGCAGCCCTCAAGTTGACTCTCTCGAAAATCAATGACTGGGTAAGAAAGAGACTCCCTGTTCCCTGACAACTCCCACACATCCTTATAAACCAGGGGGTGCTGTTTAGGTAAAGGAATGGAATGTTCAACCACTAAAGCCCCACTAGAGGGGCCCTTTTCTTGTTGTTTTGCCCACCCCCACTGCAGTTAAGGTAGCAGAGATCACTGTCTGGATCCACCATGGCCGAGTACCTCATTGCTCTCATGAAGGTGCTCCAGATCACTGCAGGAGAGCAGGATCCTACTTCCAGGAGACAACAATACACCACAATGAGAAGACGTCAGCCCTGCTCTAGTCACTCTGGCGCTGACTAGTCTATGCACGGTGGAAGCCTGAGGAGTCGCCCATCTCACCTCTATGGATGAGTCCCTTCTATGTTTTCTTCTTGCTAATCTTGGTCAGCTCTCTACCTGGGGACCTCCCCCCAGGCCTTGGACTGTGACTTATGCATGTGCACTACCCAACCAGGAAGTACTGTTACCAAAACTCTGGTCCATACTTATTATTTTTGTTCAAACCTGGAAGGGATGGAGTCCCAGTGACCTGTCTGGTTCTCAACCCTAGGTGGGTTTAAGAACTTAATAGGGGCAACATTCTTTGTCTTAGAAGCATGGCTGATACTACCCTGCCTAATCGCTCCGGTACTGCAATCCTTCAGGGTCATTATGGAATATTAACCCCCAGATCAAGATGATGCTCTCTGACCCAGAAGTGGGTCTGAGACTCAAACAGCGGAATGTGGCAGGAAGGAAGGGAGATAATGAGAGACAATGTGTTTGATAATAAGAGATAATGAGTGCAACAGTAAAACAAATCAAAATAAAACAAAAAAAACTGGATTTGAAGAATGTCAAGTAGCACCTAGGGCAAGACCAGAGAAAGGTCAACTCACCCCAGAGGTTAAAACAGACAATGAAATAATATGTGACCATGTATGGGAAAAGCTGTTATCCCTCCCCCCCATTTCTGTAATCTGATCTAAATAGTATATAAGGAAAGCTCCCTTTGTTCTCAGGGTTCAGCCTTTGGACACGAGTCCGCTGAGTCACTGCCAGCCTGCTTAATAAACTTGATTCTCAAAAGCTTTGGTGCCCCGTCTCTCTGTCTGAGCCCTCCTGCAACAATTTCCACTTAATATTATTGTCTTCATACACAAAACTCCTTAATTCTAAACAAAATTTGTTCTAGAAGACAAAACTAAAACAAAATGGCAGAAGCCAAAGAGATACAGATTTTGATTTAAAAGATGATTTTCCTAACAATGACAGAAACTCCATACTTATGGGGCAATCAGAGGTTGAGAAACCTTTTCAAGAACTGTAAAATAGAATCCTCTCATAGCAAAATAGTTCTTCTAATTCTAAAGGTCTATGATTATTTTAATGATTACCTTTCCCATTCTGGAAATTCTTCAAGACTCTGTCTTGTAAATGTCACCAACCCAGTAGGCTCTAGAAAAGCAATAAAAGAAAAAAAATAAAATAAATTTAAGATTTCAATTTACATATATTCAATAAAAGAACCAGTCTAAATGGTTATAATATAAAATAATGAGGAAATACCAAGTCTATTATACAGATTGAAATACGCTCATCCCTTGTTATCTGTGGGGGTTTCAGTACTACTAGATACCAAAATCTGGATGCTCAAGCTCCTGATATTTACATATAACCTATCACATCCTCCTGTATACTTTAAATCACCTCTAGATTACTGATAATTCCTAATACAATGTAAATGTTAGGTAAATAGTTGATATATCATATTGTTCAGGGAATAATGACAAGGAAAAAAGTCTGTACATGTTACTGCAGATGTTATATTTTTAGATTATTTTAAATCTGTTGTAGGTTACACTGCAGATGGAGCATCCTTGGATACTGAAGGCCAACCACACAATGAAGAACTTACTTAAAATAATATTAGGAAGGTTGGGAGTGTGGCTAAAGCAATAGAGTGCCTTCTTAGTAAGCACGAAACCCTGAGTTTAAACCCCAGTACCATATAAAAATAAAATAATAATGATAATATTAGGAGCTCCTATAAAATAGCAAGTCTTCACTAAATAAAACTATACAACTAACAACCTGGCAGGATTTTAGTACTGGTAATTTTTGGTGATGTTTTCTAAAATGAATATCCTTTTTTTAAAAAAGCACTTAAAAAGATACATAGTTGGTATAACTTAAGAAATAAAGAAAAAACTGAATTCCAATCTGTAGAGTCCTTTTCAAAGAAAAATCTTAATCCTACACTCAAAACCTGGTGAACAGATATATATTTATGTGCTTTTTGATGAAGTAAAATGTCTAAGATTTAAAAAGGAAATCTTTGGACTGTCCTTTGGACTTATCACAGTTAAGTCTCTAGCTTAGACATCAGGCAATTGCTCTAACTTACTAGAAGGCACCTAAGGAACAGACAGAATCACTGTGCTCTCAAAGTGCAGAGAAGAATGATGCCATGTTTTTCAAGAAGCAACATATTTGTAAGGATCAAAATGAAGTATTGTTAATTCAGTCAATAATTTTAGAAGTTTTTTTTTCATAACATTTACTTTTTTTAAGCCAGAGGCAAAGCAAAAAATAAATCAGCTGGCCAAAAGTAATCTGCCTGCTTCAAATCAAAGAACAAATTAAAAGACGATGCCATTTCTGTTTTCTTCTGTTACCAAAAAAAAAAAAAAAAAGCTCTTAAGCACAGAGATAGATGTCAGGAACTGTTAGGATGACAGTGTTGAGCCCAAAGAAAACCTAGCAATAATTTCATTCCTTCAGACAGTTCTGCATTTCTTTATGGCCAGTGACATGAAGTAACAACTTAAAAATCATGTGGCACAGCTGTATTAGCAAACAGAATTTTATGCTCCATATGGTGGGTCACTATTTGGGAGACAGAGATAGGAAGATGATGGTTCCTGACCAGCCCCGGGAAAAATCGGTTAGTGAGACCCTATTTCAAAGGATGATTATAAGCTCTCATCTGTAATCCCAGCTCTGTAAGAGGTCACAGGGTAGGAGGACTGCAGCCTGGGCAAAAATCACAAGATCCTATTTGAAAAATAGGAAAGTGTAAAGTGGGCTAGAGGCATGGCTTAAGTGGTAGAGCACTTGCCTAGCAAGCACAAGGTCCTGAGTTCAAACCCCAGTACTGCAGGAAAAAACAACAGAATTTTTTGCTAACACGTATTTTAAAATATTCTTTAGCTTATTTAACTTTAGGACAAATGAATAGCATATTTAAAACATGAGTAACAGACCAAACAATCCAAACTCTAGAGATGCAATTCTACTAGGAAAATAATGTCCATTTCATCATTCAGTTACTTGGCAGAAGTAAATCAATAAGTGTCTTCCATACGCTAAGAGAGACCAAGAGAAATTGATAAACAAACACTGCTGGCAGAGAAAGAGAAAGGAAGGGAGGATATGGTTCTCTAAATATAATTATTAACAAAAATGCCTTTGAGAACATGCCTGTTTCATCAATTTTTGAATATGTAACCTATAAGATACTTTTTCTAAAACTGTATCAAAAACAATTTAATTCAGAAGGCTTTTTAAAATCTTTTGGTCTCGAATATCAGCATTGTGAATATAAAATATAGATGTTTAATAACACTGAAAAACAGGTTCTGGAAAGGTATGGTGACTCAAGCCTGTCATTCCTAGCTACTTGGGAGGCAGAGATCAAAAGATCACAGTTCAAAGCCTGGTCAAAAAGTTCAGGAGATCCCATCTCAACCAATGGCTGTACATGGTGGCATACGCATGTCATCCCCAGATACTTGGGGAAGCACAAGCAGGAGGAGTGTGGTCCAGGACTCCTGCCTAGGCATAGAGCAAGCCCCTATCTCAAAAATAACCTCCAGGGTTGGAGGCATGGTTCAAGTGGTAGAGTGCTTGCCTAGCAAGTATGAGGCCTTCCTTGAGTTCAACCCCCCAGTCAGCACCCCCCTCAACTAAAAGTAGGTTCTACCAGAGTTATGTTTATCAATTCTTTTTTTTTCCCCCACATTCTAAGTTTCTGAAACATGAATATATCCTTTTTAATGGCGCTGTCTGCCATGGGTTTGGATTAAAGTAGGGTTTTCCCATAGAAGATGAGCATCTGCTTTTGCCATCATCTGGAGGTACCAATGACTTGAAATCATATGGATAAAATTCTCTATTGCAGGCTTTTGTAGATCACCCAGATAGTAAGACTCCAGATTGATATTTGGAGTTTGTGATTCAAATTTCAGGGGAAATTTTCCCCTATTCTATATAATGCCAAAGTTGAGAGTTAAAAGTTTCTTTACTGTCCGTTTTTTGCATTGCCAGGTTAATTTCTCATGTATCCTTGACCAAGGGCACAGACCTCTTGTGTCTCAGTGTGACAGTTCTCCTATAAGATTTCCCCCATCCTGGTTTTCTTCTTCTTAGAGGTATATTATGTGATGGCACTTCCTATCATCTGTGATGTGTTGGATTTACTAAAATATAAGTACTTTACACAGATTTCAGGAGTCTCTATTCAATCACTAGGCTCCAGAACTTCTATACAGCTGGTCATTGCACGACAAATCTGTTTATTTCCCTCAGTACTTCCTCCTCCAGCCATCAGATTTAGACATTTCACTATATTTTTACAAATAATTAAATTACTACGTATAATAAAAAAGCCAGAAAATAAAATGTCTAATTACAGTTTATTCCTTTAGCCTGACAAACTCATAAGACTTATGAGGGCTTAAACATTTTTAGTTAAAACTTTTGGCTTTTTTGTCTCAAAATATCTGAAATACTAAAACTTAGAAAAGTAAATTAGTTTTCAGAGAAGAAATATATGATTTGACCCCTAGACAGAAAATTAAGCTTTGAATTACTTATTTCTAATAATTCTATTTAGATTTAAAAAGCATGTTAGTAAAAAAAAAAAGTAATCATCTTTCTATCAATTCATTACAAATTCTAATTTGATTTTGTGTCTCATAAACCTGAATGATCCTACGTTTTCCTGAACATTTCATTATGGAGCACAAAACTAAAATTCAATACACTAAAAGATAAATATTTTATCAAAAAAGAATATGATTTTTCCCTTTATACATCGAAATCTTGATACTTGATTTCTTTCCAAAAATCTGAACAATATTCGGCAACATTACATTCAAGGGAAGAAAATACAAAATGTACTATAACGTGAGAAAATTAAGAGTATTACAAAAATGAACCTGTAATGATTCCAACACATGCTTTAAGACAATCACAATCCCACAAGGTGGGTGACCACAAGTGAAAGTACTTATTAGACTTGAGCAGAGTAGACCTGACTTACTTAGCACAAGGAAACTTTTGAAGTATTCTGATTTCCTTTATCATCAACCTGTAGGAAAGGATACCCAAAAGCTAACATATTAAGCATGTATCTTCCTGTTTAAATCTCTGCAACAACCCTATGAAGTAATTATCATTATTATTTTACTTCACAGATGAGAAAATTGAGGCATTAGGTATTAAGGAACTTGGTCAGGGTCATTCAGCTTCTGAGATAGGAGAAGCAATACCAATCTGTCATGAGATGCTCATTACCTGCATTTGTGGGAAATGTACTACTGCTACCTCAGGCTACCATCAGATCTGGCAAAGCAAAATAGTAAGGTCCAATAGAGGAAGACAGACATGTAAACACTAAGTACGACTCAGTTTTTAACAATTCTACAAAGGGCTTAGGGAGACCCAAAAGAGAGGAATGGGTAGGAAAACAATGAATTACTTGATCTATATAAATTAACTTAAGTTAACGTTTCTTACAGCAAAGAGACCTAAAATATATTTTCTGGTCAATATACTTTTTTTTTTTGAAAAATTTACTGATTTTGCTCATAAAAATTCTTTAATGTATATATTAGAGATTTCAATATTGTATTGGGGTGCATGGCTCAAATGGTAAAGTGCTTGCCTAGTAAGCATGAAGCCCTGATTTCAATCCCCAGTACTTTTGTATATGGGTCTAATTTCGGAATCCACATACATTCATGGTATACATTCTTGTATATATGTACCATATACATAAAATCTAAGTTATAACAATGTATCATTGTTGTATAAATCTGGTTTGGGCAGGAAAGACATTCTAAACTCAAAATGTCCCTTGATTTGAATTGTACTCATCAGCATGAAAAATTATAGTAAAAATGAAAGGAATTTACTTTTCTCTGTGACTCTTCGAAAGTAGCAGAAGAGAGTTTTCAGTTTCTCTGGTTTTCTTGATGAACGTCCTTCAAACAACCTGAAAAAGACCAAAACATAAAAGAAGATGGAGGGTGATTTAAAATGCCTTAATAACTCACAAAACACTAAACCTGTATTTCCACCAAGCATTTAAAAAAAGGCACTACCTTTAGTCCCCCAAGGTCAACTTGGGCCAGTCAGTTAATGCACAGCCATTTTCCTCAAGGCAAATACTATTTTATGCACAACAATACTAAGTACTTACATAACTGGAGAAAAATGGTAGCTGAAAAATTATCACATCTGACTGTCTATAGTAAAATGAGGGGAATACGATGAGGGGAGAGACACAGGCAAGTATGACAAGATAATGAAGGATGATTAAATGAGCAGACTTCGATATTTAAGCAAGTAGATTCTGTGACAGACTGAATTCTGGTCTCCCAATATTCATATGTTGAAGCTGGAATCTCCAAACAGCTGTATTTGGAAGGGCCTGTGAGGAAGTGGTAAGGGTTAATTGAGGTCACAGATTAATCTATAGGATTGGGCTCCTCAGAAGAAGAGAATGAGTCGGAGTGTACTCTCTGCCATGTGAGGACACAGAGAAAAGGCAATAATCTTCAAGACCTCATTTGGCACCTAATTGGCCAACACCTTAATCTGGGATGGTAGCCTCCAGAACTGTGAGAAAATAAATTTTCTGTGGTTTGAGTCACCCATCCTATGGTTATTTTGTATAGCAGTCCAAGATGACTAATACAGATCCTTTGCTTGGTAACCAAAACAGTGCCTACCCTATGTTATTCAGTTTCCAGCAACCTGGATCTGCTCTACTTAATTTGGTTTTCTTTGAAATGGCATGGCATTGTTATTGGTAACATATAATTTAATTTACCCTGAGGAAAGAAAAACAGGCTCTAGAAGTGTATGAACTGAGTAAGTAGTTCACTAAGGATTTCTCACAAAAAAGCATGCTTTGGGGCATAACAAATAGCTTTCCAAAGGCATTTTAAAATTATAGGAAGATTCAGGGGCAATAAATGATAAGGATTCTCTGCCTCCAGTCATATACTCTGACTTTAAATCCAGAATCCCTTCAAGTAAAAGTTCATTTTAATAAGTGCTAAAATGGATAACATTTTTCTTTATGATTAGAAGAGCAAGCTTACATAAGTATGTACAGAGGAAAAAGTTAACTTCATGAGAAATCCTATTGAGGAATTAAAATGAATTAGGAAAAGGGAAGGAAATGTGGACTACAAAGGACCCTGTTCATGATCTGAAATCTACATTGAGGGTGGTGTTCTAGAAAAACAATTTATATGAATAGTTACTTTCTAAACAGAACACTAATGCCAGGTAGAATTTCAACCTAATCTAAAATCAAACCTATGTTTAAAAAATAGGTAAAGACCATGTTTATAATAATTCTCACACATTTCAGACTAATTTCTAAGAATATTTAATTCACGTATTATTAAATACAACTGCCAGCTAACAAAAGGATCATAAAGAATGCAAGTTTCAGGTTGACTTCTCTGCAATATGCCAACCAAAACAGAGTTTGTTTAAATCAAAGTGATAGTCAAAATGGAGAAGCCACTTGGCAGTTTAATTAAATACCCTATAACACTAAATAAGATTTACTAAATGAATACCTTGGGCTCTGTTGCAAAATCCCTTTGTAGGGTTACTACTCAGTGGTGGAAAACACTGTGAATGTAAAAGCAGCCACCACCTTTCTCTAGAAATGAATTGATGTATTATACAATTCAATTAAAGGGAAAAAGTTCCTCATCAATAGAACTACTGCAGACAGAGAAGAACATGGCTATTGCTCTTAAAGAATAATTTCCTAAAACACAAAAAGAGAAAAATGTCTCTACATTCTATATGTGGTCAGCTGTTTGTAAAATTGCATAGGAGGCCACATGTTTTATAATCATGAGGTCAAATTATTAACCACAGAGCCCCTCGGGACTATGGATTTACTACCCTGGTTGATTTGGACTTTCCTGGAAAATTATATGGCTGTTATTATCACTACAAATGAGTGCCACTATTTATCTTGTAAGTCTAAATCTTACAGGTACAAATTAAACAGAATCTCAATGTACTTCATTTATTTGTTGCTCCAAGTCTAATTTCAAATCACTGTGTAACTAAACAGGCTTTCCCATTTTCCTGATAAGAAGCAGAAAGGGTATGTGTTTATGCAAAAATGGAGACAAAGTCAGAGGAAATGAAGCAAGTTTAAAACCTTTATAACAAATCACAGACTTGGCTGCTCTGACATTTTAAAGCACTATGTATAGCTACCCAAATAAAATAAGTTATCTTGTTACTGCAATAAGAGAAAATAACAGAAATGTACAGGCAACAAGCATGAAAGGAAGTCATCATAAGAGTGATGTACAATTTGAGGGATAATGTGTTCTCAGGAAGAGGAAGAAAAGAGACTGAGGACAGAGCCAGAGAAGGAGGAAGGAAGAGAGAGAGGCTGACAGAAATGAGGCCGAGATAGAGAGAAGATATAAGAGAGACACAAAAACAGAGGAAAGAACAGTAAAGACAAATACATAAAGCAGAGAGAGGGAGACCTCGTAACAATCAAGCATCATTCAATTTTTAACGTCCCAACATTTTTTTTTTACAAATTAGATTTCTCAAGTCCTGCGTATGTATATTTCAAGGTATATTTTGAATCAGTGTCATATATGTGAATGTACACATAAAGCAGGCCATAACTCTTGTGTATGTGGAAAAGACATTTTGGTCTCTTACTAAAGGATAAGTATAGATGATTTTAAAAAGCCAGTAAGGCAAACACACTTTTTAAACAAAACAGTTTGCATTTTCAAGGAAAGAAGTCAATCAAGGGTCAGATACTTATTAACTGGTGCTTTTCTTTCCATACTTATAAAGAGAAACATTGTTTAATAAAATCTTTCCCTGAATGGAATATTCATATTATTACTGGAATTAAATTCTACACACACACACACACACACACACACACACACACACACACACACACACACACACACACAGTTTTAAGTTAAGGATTAATTCCATTAGTATACAGTAAATCAAGCTCAAAGCACTATAACTTTAAAGCAGAAGCAAGTGATAATACAGGACCCAGCCAGAAAGTCCTTCCTGCTCCTTTGTGAGGCACTCTGCCATATGGCCCCAGAAGCATTTCCAATCCAGGGAAGAAGCAGATATAAAAGCCTCCTGGGCTGACCACTGCTGAGACCCACAATTTATCTCTGACCATCTAGTTTCCATGCAATTTCAGAAGCATCAATGCTAATCACATTGGAAGCCTTTATATGAATGTTTAGGCCATGAAAGGCAAGCAGGGGAAAAGGTCAGGAGTATTTAACATAACTAAACAGGTCTGGAAGAACACAACAATAAATAAAAAAGGAAGACTTATTCAATTTATTGACGTCAGTCTCCTACCACTACTCAATCAGCTAGCTATACCTCATTTGAGATTAAATACGCTTACATACTAACATACATACACAAACCTCTCTCAATTGCCAGAAACTATAATAATAAAAACAAACTATGCAAAAAAGGAAACACATCAACAACAAAATGCTACATAATCAGTTTACCAAATGGGTCACCAGATTAAGTATTTGATCTTTTAGAAACCACACAGAAAAGGGGAACTTTGGGTTGTCTTCCCATTCTGTTCTTGAGAGGCAGTGAGACACAAAGAAAAGCACTGAGTCTGAATAGAAGAAAAGTCATTTACTCTCCCTGAACCTCACTAGTGTAGAAGTTTCCCTACCTAGAAACTTCCACAGATAGAATCAAAGTGAGTCTCAATGGATGTATCAACAGTATGTACAGTCATTGCTCTCATTTGTTAGTTTAGGTTCATTAAAATAAATATCATCTCATAGTAATAGGAAAGTGCATTCTGGCTGCTGAAAATCCCTATAACAATTGTGGAAACTATCATGGGCTTACCAGTTTTAATTCATTTTTTAATGTTCTGGCATCTAAAACAACATCCATTACTCAGGAAGACAAGAGTATGTCTGGCTTCAACAGACCTAGTTAAACTCTTATTTGGTGAAAATATTATTTAATACAAGCTTAAATCCCTCTGGACTTACAGATGGCTTTGGTTCATTTAACAGAGTAAGTATTATCCCTAAAAATTGTTCTAAATTCTGATTAGCTATGAGATAATAGGTATTAACCTGGTTCACTCAATGGGAGACTGTGCAGCAAGGTGGTTAAGGAACACAGCTTCTAGAAATAGACTATATGTTGAGTTGAATCCAAATTCTACCAGTTATTGTGTTAACTTGGTGAAGTAACTTACATCTCTTTATCTGGAAAACAGGAATAACAGCAATACCTAATTCATATTGCTGAAGTGAGGATTAAGTAAAAAATAATTTAGCAGTGATTAGCATGTAACTGTTCAATTAGCTATCATTAAAAGATATTTTCATGGGAAAACTTTTTCAGATAATGATGGTATAAGATGAGGTATTTGTGCTAAAATAAGGCATTATATAACAGCCAGGAAAAAAACAACATGCATTTACATAAAGGGCTTGCATTGTTCTAATCTATATTCCTACTATTAAGATAAACAGTCCGGCCTTGTATCTTATCAAGGCAAGCATGCTGACATTCAGGGCCAACCAACTTCTGGATAAATGACCAAGCACAATGGAAAACATAAACCTGCTATTGTCAAGCTGTTTCAGAGTTCACACAAGAAATTCAGCTGGTCATGACAATAGAGTGACTAGTCTATAACACTATACCTAACAGAAAACAACACAGAAATGAAAAAGTAATAAGCCTCTATTCTCCAAGCTGATAAAATATACTTGGCATTAGAAAATAAGCATTCTTTAGAGCTACTTCAAGGTTAACATCCTAATTAAAATTAATAACTTTTCCATAAGTTTCATCCCAATGTTGTGTTGTACAACCTAAGGAAATCTATTTCCAAATATCCTTCTGAAAATTCAGACAAACTAAAAGCCTACTAACATTTTAAGTCAAACTGCA